CCCTGTACAAATGGAAAAAATAAAAATAACAAAAAAGTTAACATTTCTAGACCAGTATGGCTGTCCATTTCTGTACAATGCTAACTCAACACAGTAAATTGGGATAACTTTTTCCAAAGTTGACAGCACTGTTAAAGTTTCCAAAAATTCAAATTTTATATATATATATATATACCAATAATAGCAGTATGTTATGCGTCAATAGCAGCAACAGCTTTTCCAGGTTCTGCAGTCATCTGAACAAAATTATAGACATTCAGCACATTCATGCACAAAATTATTAAAGGTAGTTTCCAAATTACTTTCAGTCTGTGTATTTGAGATATATATGAAAATAAATGAACTTCATGTTTAGATTTAGGTCTTATCCCCAAGATACGTCATTATGTATTTGCAAATATTCCACTAGGTTGTTTATTTGAGCTCACTCTGTTTTTCTGATATGGGAATTCATCACTAGAAATTTCCCTCAGGACTGCTTTCATTGAGTCCTATAAGTTCTGGTATGTTGTATTGGCACTATCATTTAATTATAGAAACTGATTAATTCTTTAATTTTATGTGTGACCCATTTGTTGTACAGCAGTGTTGTATAATTTTCATGTGTTTATAAAGTTCTTGTGGTTTCTTTTGCCATTGATTTCCAATTTCATTGCACTATGGTCTGATAAAATGCATGGCACTTGCGAGACAGGCAATGGAACCACTGAGCCAAATCCCTGGCCCTTCTGGTGGATTCATTCTTTTGTGGTTCATGGAGTTGTTGTCCTTGTTATCTCTTTCTAGAGTGTCCTTCAGAACATTTTGCTGTGCTGGTTTCGTGGTCATGGATTTCTTCAGGTGTTCTTTGTCATGCAAATATGTGTTTTCTTCATCACTTTTGAAAGATAGTTTTATGGAGTACATCAGTCTGGGTTGATGTTGTTTTCTTTTAGGGCTTGAAATACTTCACTGCAGGCTTTCCTTGACTTGAGCGTTTGTGTTGAGAAGTCTGCTGTGATTCTGATGGGCTTTCCTTTATAGGTGATTTGTTCCTTTTCTCTAACAGCTTTTAATTTTCTGTTCTAGTGTTGAATTTCTGGAATCTTGACTATTATATTCCTCAGTGTAGATTTTGTTGTTGTTGTTTTAATCATAGCTAATTGGAGTTCTATATGCCTCACTTATCTGTAAGTCAAATTCTTTTTCCCTGCTTGGGAAGTTTTCTGCTATTCTGTGAACAGAGAAGAGAAAGAGAGAAGGAAAAAGTAAAAACAAATACAGAATGGAACAACAACAACACCAAAATTAGAAACAGTATTCACACTTACATAAAAACAAGAACAATCAAGAAAAAACAAAACAAAAAATGAGAAGATAATATTCACTTCAAGGCATGTCTCTGCTGTCACTGGTAGACAAATCAGGCAAGCAGAGCCCAGATCTATGATTACTCCCAACAAGCTAGCCATAGATTTATGGCAGGCTAGTGGATAATCCCAGCAAACTTGCATCTTTAGATCTGAAGCTCAGGCTGGTTTCTGGCTGTGTGCCTGGAACCTGAATTGTTTCACCTGCAACACTTCATGTGCCTCCTGCCAGCTTGAACTCTGCTCCCTGTTGGCTTTAATTTGGCTCCCTGACCTCCTGCTGACTTGAACTCAGTTCCTTGTCACCCTGATGGAGCCAGCCTACAGCTGCTCTGAGTTCTGAGCTCAGTTGACTCCTCTCCAAGATGGCCAATTACCCTCTCATCTGGGGATGTCTGAACCCAGATAACTCAATGTAGCCTGCTGTGTCCATGGCTTCATTCCATGGGTATGTTTCTTTGTGAAGACCTTGGGGTTTGCTAGTAGTCACTGTGGGTCTGCAGGTTTGAGTCACCCCTTCCGTACAGTGAACCATGGCTCAGAGAGAAAACACTGCATACAAACTGTGTCCTTTGTGGAAGTCCCTCTCCTTTCTCTCCCTGTGGGCTTTAATTCTTGCTTCAGATCCTTGCTGGACCCACTTTTCCTCCTCCTTTTTTTCCTCACATTGCTGTATTCCAGCATCTGAACACCAAATCTCGGAGAGGGTGTTTCTCTGCTGTTCACCTCTCCACCTTCTTCCTGGAAGTGCAAATAATCCAGATCTGAAAAAATTAGTATACCAATTAGCATACCAGTAGGTCCCAATCATTAAGACCAGTGAAAGTGTGGTCATTGTTAAAACCATTTCTTTATGGTACTGGCGATTGAATCCAGGCCTTTGAACATGCTAGGCAAGTACTCCACCCCTACACTACATCCCAGATCTTAAAAAATTTCTGTGCTAGGACAAGGTCTTGCTAAATTGCCCAGGCTGGCCTCAAACTTAAAATATTCCTGCCTTATCCTCCCTAGTAGCTGGGATTACAGGCACATAACAGTGCCTGGCTCCCTAACTGCCTTTCTAAAGCACTAACTTTTGCCTTGAAGGGAAAACTTCATGGCATTATCTCTGCCTGGCATTTTATATATACTCACACACACAGATGTACATGTAAAGATGTATCCAGGCTTGTTTCTCTAACTGAACTCCATGAGGTGGGGACATTGGCTTTTTCACTGTTGTATTCCTGGTATTTGGAACAGCACCTCACAAAAGCTTATTAAAATTTGGTGAATACATGGTAGAAAATGTATCAGTATTTTGTAACCTCCAGAGTGCCTTCATTATCTTAGGGTTCCTGGAGTTCTATCTTCATGTTAAAAATTAAATGATGGGCTGGGGATTTAGCTCAGAGGTGCAGTCCCTGCCTCACAAGTGCAAGGTCCTGAGTTTGATCCCTGGTGCAGCAAAATAAAAAATAATTAAATGAATACCCCATCTTTTCCTCATCTTTATTTTCTGCTTGTATACTCTTACAGTCATTTTTGTATGCATTCATATAAGTTTTGGTAAATGTGTACTTATACTAACTAGGTCCATTGTTTTGCGGCCTTGGTCTCTTCCCTCACTTATCAGAATGCCTTGCCTTGATTAGCTCCCCATTAGTCCTGTAGACTTATACATAATGTAGTTGTCACCAAGTCAGGGGTCTTTTCAATTTCTTGGTATCTTGATCAAAAGGAGCAGCAAGATCTTAGACTAAACATCAAAGATTTATTGATTGTGAAATTACACTGCATAGGATGGGTGCATGCCAATCAGAACTTAACCCAGAGGGAGCTTTGTGTGAGGGTTTTAAACATTAGGGTTTGGGGTAGAATTAAAGAGTTGTTTTAGATTTTGCTCTTACCAGTGAGCAGCTTAACTTTGCCCCTCTGTCAGGCAGTGACGTTTTTGACCTCTTAATGGCCATTGGAGGAACTGTCATGGCACCCAGAGGCTCTCAGGGTATGGGGTGGTGATCAAAATAACATTGTTAAAGATATGGCAGAGCCTGGGTTGGTGAAGGGTTGCTGAAGACCACCAGGTGACATTTTGTGTGTGAGTTGGGTTCCCTGGTTATTTTCTCCCACTGTAATTAGACCTGAGTTAAAGTTTACCTCAAGAGCTAGATCTAACCCAGAAAGCAGAGCATCCAAGGCATCTCACCCCCCTCTCCAGCTATTGGCTACTCCTGTCTTATAATAACTCATTCAGATAGCTACCAGTGGTTGAACACTTAGATGCTTTCCAACCTGTTGCCGTCTGGATAGTACTGCCATTAAGATTTTTATAATATACTTGTCTTTGTGTACATGAACAAGTGTTTCTTCTAAAAAGAAACAACTCCTAGGTCAGAGTGAATGAGCATTTAAGATGGTCATAGCCCTGTGGTAGGTGCTACCTGCTCTAAGCAAGAGGGCTAAGGGTGAGTGAGTAGAGGACGAGAGTAATAGATTATGTGGTGTTTCTTCATTGGGTAGGTTCTGTGTGTGAAGCACATTCCATGGACTGAATGTTTTTGTGCTGAATCAATAGTGGGGTAAAAGTCATGGGCATGTGAAGAAATAAAAATGGCAAGTAAACATAAGGAAAGTGATTAACCTCTGGAGTACAAAAGAACTCAAAATGATAGTTTTAAAAATTGTCTTTTCATTTATTACATTAGTAAAACTAAACTGAAACTAGTACTTCTCTTTGTTGGCAGGCAGGGTGAGGTAGAATGGATCCTTTTTTTTGTTTTTGTTTTTTTTTTTTTTTTGGTGATACCAGGGATCAAATTTAGAGCACTTGCACTTGTGAGGCAGGTGTGGCACCACTGAGTTAAATCCCCGGCCCTGGACCCTTTTATTCTGTATTGACAGGCTGTCAAGTTAGCAGCTTCCCTCTGGTAAATAAGTTGGTATTATGGACCAAAAGCCTTAAAGCCTTTATTTAGAACCTTTGATTCAGGACTTCTTCTCCTCCTCTGGATTTATTGGTACTCATATTTATTTAGAATATTATGTCCTAGGCTCTGAGTGAGGTCCTAGATTGGGCCTGGGGAACTTTGAGTGACAAGGATTGCTTATAGCATAGCATTTGTAAAATAGAATAAAATATGAGTAGTACCAGCTGGGCAAAGAAAATGCATCAAAATGCTGGTTATGTTGAGGTTATGAGTTTGTCTAGCTTTTTTGGTATTTTTATATAAACAAATATTACATATAAAAATATTTTATGTCAGCTGGGTACGGTAGCCCTTGCCTGTAATTCTAGCTCTCAGGGAGGCCGAGGTAGGAGGATTTCAAGTCCAAGCCCAGCTTGAGTAACTTCGTGAGACTCGGTCTCAAAAATATAGAAAAGGACTGAGGATATGTAGTTCAGTACAAAGACCTTGGCTTCAATCCCCAGTACCACAAAAACAAAACAAAACACCTGTAATAAAGGAAGACTAGAAAAAGTTTCAGAGCTTTTCCTCAGAGAATCTAGAACTAACTAGACCCAGGACTAATAGGGAGGCTCTGTACATTAATCATAGGAATTTGTGCTTCTTCTTGGATGTGGCTTTTAAAACTGTAAAGATGAATTCCACAGTTTGATGTGTCTGTGATTGTGCTTCCTTTATAAGAAATGTGTTTCCCTTTCAGTGGCCTGATTGTTCCTGAGAGAGACAGCAACGAGACTGTCCCTGAGGTTGTTGTCACATCAGGTTATGCCCTGTTACATTTTTTTAGTGATGCTGCTTATAATTTGACTGGATTTAATATCACTTACAAGTAAGACATTTAAATCTAATGTTTGTGGTTTTAATGATAATAATTAATACCGTTATATTGGAGGCTTACAGCCTGGCAGTTTCTATGGGTTTTCTCATTTAAAATTCTTTTAAAAACTCAGTTGTGAGCAGTATTTTTCCACTCATTATATAATTGAAGAAATTGACACAAAAATCTAAATACTTGTCAGTGTGAGTAGTGATGGTGGAGCACGGTTTTAACCCAGGTGTTACTGCTGTCGGGCTTCTCCTGGAAGAGGGGTGTTTTCCTAATGAATAAAAACATCAGGTGTTTTTGCTAAGTACAATTAACAAATATTAGCAGTTATTGTATACTCAGTAGTAGAAGAATCTCTCTTCTTAAAGTATCATGATAGTGCATTTATCTCCCCCTCTTTAAAATCTGAATTATGTCATTTCAAAGTGCTGGCAATATGATTATCAAAGGACACATTATAAGACATAGTTAAACTTGTAAATTAAGTTAAATTGGCCTGCTTTCTTCCATTTGAAATCAAATAGATACTGATACTAAGGAACTTTACATCAGTGTGGGCAATAACCTCCAATAATCTTAAGTTCTACAAGTTTCAGAAATTATCCAGGGTTTTATGTACCATGAGTATATTGTCAGCAGTTTCCTTTATTCCCCCCTCCCACACACTCACAGTGTAAATTCTCCTATTATGTAAGACTCATTACTAATAGTCTACAAGAGTAGTTGTCCCAGCCTGAAGGAGTTAAATCGGAACAATTTTGCACAAATCTCTTCCTTCCTTATAATTTTTTTAACTGTACAAGTTACTTACTGTTACCTTTTACTTATGAAGATCCAGAGGAGTTGATTTGATTTGATAGCTTGCATCTCAGGCCCTAACTGTGTAATGTTGAGTGCCCGCATTTGCTAAGTATTACAGTTGGATTTGTGAGTAAACAGAAGAGGCAGAGAGATCCTTAAATCTTGTGTAGGAGGAAGTTTTGCTAAGTTAATTGAAGCATTGCTTTATGTTCATTTAGTTTTCCCCACTGTCTTTATAGTTTTGACATGTGTCCGAATAATTGCTCAGGCCGAGGAGTGTGTAAGATCAGTAACAGCAGCAACACTGTTGAATGTGAGTGTTTGGCAAACTGGAAAGGTGAATCGTGTGACATTCCTTACTGTACAGACAACTGCGGCTTTCCTCACCGAGGCATCTGCGATTCAAGTGATGTCAGAGGATGTTCCTGCTTCCCTGAGTGGCAGGGTAGGTGCTTCTTCTACTTATATTTTTCTTTCAATTCACAGAATATCCCGTTTAATAAATTGTAGTAGGCTTTATTCTCAGCATCTGTACAGTGTATGTTAACCAATATCAGACCACATTTAAACTTTCACATCCCTTTGTCCTTCTTACAGATCATTCAGTTTCATACATACGTGAAAGTGGTCTCCTTTGATTTGTAGAAGGGTTGATATTTTTTGCAATTCATTTGTGAAAGTTGGATGATTTGGTCTCAATAGCTGAGAACCAAGCTGGGAGGTGGAAGAAGAGCTGACAATAATGTTGTTTCTTTAGAAATTTACCCTAAGTTCAGAGAAAATTAGGATCAGTTATACATTAGAGTCCTGATGGAGTCACTTAATGGCATTATCTACAGAAATAGAGAATTGAAATGAGTAAAGACAGTTGTTACTGATCTAGTGGGTTATATATATATATATATATATATACATATACATACATGTACACCTTGCTCATAACCTTTTCATTTTGAAAAGAAATGTGCTTGTTTAAATGCCTTGGTTTGTTGAGTTTGACTGATAATGAGGCGTCAATAGTTGGAGTATTTGAGTACTTTCCACTTTGCAGATATTGCAGCAGAAACTCAAATTCCCAAGAAGGAAGTCTCTCTCTTGCTTCTGCTAAGTTCTTTGCTTTACCAGAAGTAGTTTTTATTATTATTCCCAGGTCTAGTTGTTACATTTTAGCCCTAAAGTTTCTATTTGAATTTTTTTGGTTTTTTGAGACAAGGTCTCACTTTGTAGTTCAGGCTGGACTTGAACTCACTGTGTAACCCAGGCTGGTCTCAAACTCATGATGATCCTCCTGCCTCATCCTCCCCAGTGCTGGGATTACAGGCATGTGCCACAAAGCCCAGCTAAATAAATAATTCTTTTGTGTAGTTTTTCTCCTGAGACCTATTTTTCATTGCTAAAAACACCTAACCTGGGTATGGCCAAGTCATCAGTGTGTAATTTTGTGTTTTATTAGAGATTACCTTTGGTTAATACCTTAAAAGCAAAAAGATTTGACTGATGGGATACTAAATAAAAGACAAAGTATTCTTTAAATATTTGTTACATTGCTGGGCATGGTGGCTCACGCCTGTAGTCCCAGCACTCTGGAGGCTGAGGCAGGAGGATCGCCACAAGTTCAAGGCCAGCCTGAACTGCATAGCAAGACCCTGCCTCAAAAACAACTGTTACATTTAGATGATTAAACTTGAAATGCAATAAATTTTCAAGCTGAAGTTTATGAAGCTAAATTACGATATTTTATTAGGTCCTGGATGTTCAGTTCCTGTGCCAGCTAACCAGTCATTTTGGATGCGAAGGGAATATTCTAATTTAAAGCTCCCCAGAGCATCTCATAAAGCTGTGGTCAATGGAAATATAATGTGGATTGTTGGAGGATATATGTTCAACCACTCAGATTACAACATGGTTCTAGCGTAAGTTGTCTTTAATATCTTTGCAAGAAGTTGTTTTCAATATTGAAAATTTATAAAATATGGATAAATGAGAAATCATTCTACTACTGTTAAAAATCTTCATATTTTGGGAATAGTCTTTTAAATCTTTTTTATATATGATGAGTTTTTAAAATAGAGTAACAAAGAATTCGTTGTTATAATAAGCAATAATTATCTTTTTGAAATACTTTCTATGACATTTTGCTTTAGGCACATATAGTAGATTATATAAATAGGAGATTATCTTTTAAGTAATAGTTTCATAGGTCAAATGGTTTGAATTTATAATTTGCTAATGGAAATCATGCCACTAATATCTCCCAGAGTTCAAGGTCTGTTTCTATCTTGTGCCACTCATTTTAAAGGGAAAATATACATCATCAGAGCACAGCAGTTTATACCAACACAATTTATAATAGCTAAACCTTGGAAACAACCCAAATGCCCATCGGCCAATGAATGGATAAAAAAGATGTGTGTGTGGGGGGGGAGGTTACAATGGAATACTACACAGCCATAAAAAGGATAAACTTGAGAGATTTATAGCTAAATGGATGCTCCTTGAAGCTGTACTTTTACATGAAATAAATCAGACACAATGGGCCAGGGATTTAGCTCAGTGGTGCTGCTACCTGCTTTAAAAGCACAAAGACCCAAGTTTGATCCCTGGTACCAAAATCAATCAATCAATCAATCAATCAGACATAAATGTGTAAATATATGAAGAGGATATCAGAAAATAGATATCCCTTGTTCTTGGATAAGAAGAACCAATATAGTGAAGATGACCTTACTTCCAAAATAGTTACACAGTTTCAATGCAATCCCAATCATAATCCCACAGCATATCTCACAGAATTAGAAAAAACAATCCTAAAATTCATTTGGAACCAGGTGAGACCTAGAATAACAAAGGCAACTCTGAGCAACAAAGGCAAAGCCAGGGATATTATAATCCCTGACTTTAAATTACACTACAAAGCTACAGTGATAAAAATGGCATGATACTATCAGAAGAACAGACCTGAGGATCAAATGGATCAGACTAGATGATGCAGATATGACTTCAGACGTATGCATCACCTTATCTTTGACACCTTCACTGGAAGAAAGCCTCTTTAATAAATGGTGCTGGAAAAACTGGCTTCTCACATGCCAAAGATTGAAAATAGACCAATATCTTTCACAACATACTAACCTAAAATCTAAAGGGATCAAAGATCTAAATATTAAAACAGAAACACTAAATCTGCTGAAAGAGAGAATAGGTAGAACGCTTGAGGACATAGGAGTAGGCAAAGACTATGAACAAAACCCAGACCACACAAGAAATACTAAAAAAAAATCAACAACTGGGACCTCATCTTATTAAAAAGCTTTTACACAGCAAGAAAAACTACCAACAGAGTAAAGAGACAACCCACAGAGTGGGGAAAAGTTTTTGCCAGCTCTTTAGATAAAGGCCTATTACCTAGACTATATAAAGAACTCAAAAAAATCAACCCCCCCAAATTTAAAGACCCAATGCAAAAGTGAACATCTGAAATAAAAAGACACTTCTTAGATGAATTAGAAACAGCAAATAAATATATGAAAAAGCGTTCAACATCACTGATCATCAAGAGATACAAATTAAAACAACACTGAAATTACATCTCATTCCAGAAACAATAGCTGCTATCAAGAAATCAACCAGTAACATGCTGTAGGGGCTGTGGGAAGAAGGAACTTTTCTTTTCTGCTGGTGGGAGTGTAGACTGGTGCACCCACTGTGGAAATCAGTGTGGAGATTTCTCAAAGAACTAAAAACTAGAGGTCCCTTTTGACCTAGCTATACCTCTTCTTAGTATCTTCCCAAAAGAATTGAAAACATCATACCATAGCTATATATGTGTACCCATGTTTATAGCAGCACAGTTTGAACTAGATAAATCTTGGAAACAGCCCAAATGCCTATCAACTGACAAGTGGATAAGAAAATGTGGTTTTTCTATACAATGGAGTACTACTCTGCCATAAAGAAGGATGAGCTTCAGACATTCACAGGTAAATGGATGGACCTTGAGAATGTACTCTTAAGTGAAATAAATTGGACATATATGTTCAAATACTGCATTGTTTCTTTAGTGAGAAACTGAATGTGGAAATAAGGACTGAGATGTATAATGTTGGAAAATGGGAAGGAAAATAAGGGAGGAGGAAAGGAGAAAGGAAGTGACAAGAAAAAAGTGAAAAAGGAAAAAAATGGAAGAAAAATATGTGTAAATATTGCATTGCCTCTGGTGTGAGAAACTGAAAGAGGAAATAAGGACCCAAATGTATACTATATAATGCAAAATAGGAAGAAATTATTCAGAAGGAAAGGGGAACTAGGAAGGAAGGAAGGGGGAAAGAAGAAAGGAAAAGGAAAAGAAGGGAAAAATGGATACAAAGCTTTGTAAATAAGGAGGGGAGGAGGAATTGAAGGGAAGAAAAGGGATTGGGAGAAAAAGAGGAATCAAGATACATCATGTACAAGTACAAATTCCCTATGATGAATGTGGTCCTTATGTGTATTTAAATTGTACCAATAAAATTAAATGTTTAAAAAGTGAACAGAGCCAGGAGTTCTTAACAAGTAAGCTGCCATTGATGACTCAAATACCAAAGAAATGGTAGGATGAGGAGTGAGTTTCTTAATACCTGAAAGTTCCTTTTCTGATTTAATTTTAGCAATCTTGTACCAAAATATGACCCTAAAAAGGTCTTAAAATTAGATGAAACTTGTATTACATTTACTTAATATGCTCCATTTAAGAAGGATTTGAAAGCATAGTTCATGATTTTTATGTCCTGTCCTTGGCAAATCCATACAAGGCCTGAAAATGCACCCATTTAAAACAAGCTGTCTCTAAAAGACAATCACTTCCAATATTAATAATGCTAAGCTCCAAAATGGATATTCTGTGTCATCCTACATGTTTTCTTGCTCTTAATCTTGATAGTAATTCTGTCACATTTGCCCTAACTGCTCAACCAAGCTGAGATCTTGAGGGGCTTGGATTTAGCACAGTGGTACCACCGCCTGCCTTGCAAGCACAAGGTCCCTAGTTCAATCCCCAGTACCAAAAACAAAAAAACACACATATCAAGCTGAGATCTTGAAATCCTCTTTTAATTCCTTTCCTCATCATTTCTCCTTCAGTCAATAAATCACCAAGACATAGTTGTATTTTCTTTTTATTGAGTTTATTGATACAATCTAGGCATACAATACAGTTACATTCATCATTGAGATTTTGTACCTTTACATAATAGGTCTTGATTCTCATTTTTTCCCCTTGTCCCTGCCCTCCCTTCACCCCCTCCTCTCCTCCCCATTTAAAAGCACTTTATTTCCATTTTTTTCAGTTTCTCATATTTTTTTTCCTCTCCCTTATTACCTTTCCCCCACCCTTCCCACTTTCCCTACACCTTTAGCCCTTTACTTCCTATTTCACATTATTAATTATCTCATTAGGATCCTGTGTACTGTTATAGTTTTTCACACCAAAGAAACTATTAGGTATTTCAGTTAAAGAAATTTCTGTATGAACATTACAAATAGGGAATCCTAAAATAAAACTAAAAAGGAAAGTAAAAGAGAAAAGGCAATGATGTCACATTAAAATGATCCTTAATTCTGGAGATGAAAATGGTCCCTGAACATACTTAAATTGCTTCTTGCTCTTATAGTCTTATCTTATTCTTTTTTTTGATTATTTAGAGAATACTTTATTAGTTTCTGTAATCAAACCCATGTAGATATGACCTTACATATTTAGTACGATGTGTTACCCCTGTA